ATTTATTTTCTAAACTATGTTCCGTGTCTACAGTCCTAATGGACAATATTTGAGATTGTGTATCAGTTGCTCTTGACGACTTAAAAGGAACAAAAGAATAATGCTGATATAAAAGGAGTAGCTCAGTTGCTTACCAGGTTATCAAGTAAAAAGCTAGAAGTCAGATTTATACTGGATCGATTTCCACAAGTTTCATTCGCACACCGGCAATAAACTGTACAAGAATAGCCATTTTTTCCACATTTACAACGTTTGCATCCGCTCGTACGGCATGCACATGATGATAAACTTGCACTATTTGGTTTTGCTGATTTTGACATCCATTTTATTTTCAGCTTGTTGTCAATCAATTCGAAACCATTGTTTGTGAATGAAGGATATTGAATGTATTGATCAAAACAGTGTAGCCAGATATTTATCTGCATGGCCGCTCTCAAACAATGTTGATGGAACGCGTCTGTTGTTGGGGGCAAGTTTAATACAATATTTTTACTGTGTTGCTTGAACGATTTTAGAGCAAAAGAAGAACGTAATTCGTCAGGAGAAATGTAGTGTCTGCTTGCTGTCTGAGAAAATTCCGCAGCGCTCGATGTATGACTACGAGTATAACAAGCGATAAAGAGTTTTTCTGCTGCAAATACTGCATCGGTTATGATTGGAAACGACTGAAAATTTGCGATTTCGTCAAAGTCGGGTGGATGAGCGAAAAACGTGTGGAAAAAAGTCTTTTTCGAGATGTTGCGGACAAACGATGTTGTATCGCAACCGGATAATGCATGCAAAATAATCAATAAGATTGGATCAAAACGATATTTCTCGATTATTTCTTCAGCCATCCGCATGCTATCAACATAAGTGAACACTTTGGTTGTTGTGTTAAAACACTTAACGACTAATGAATCGAGACCGATAATTTTTGCGTAAGCGACGGATAACAGTACAACATCAGTATCGCTTGCTTGAATCACAACTTTGTTAAAAATGTAGGTCGACTGAATTGCCTGTATATGTAGCATCATTCGTGTATCAGCTTCGACATGGTTTGCTTCCAATTCGTCGACTGTTTCAGGTGGGAGATTCTTTTGTAACCGCACAGCTTCCACAGCAGGTCCTGCTACTACCAAAACTGTACGTTCCGGTAGCAAGTTTACCAATGCAGGTTCTTGCCAACATTCCAATACACATCTGAAATTTAAACAAAATACCAATATTAAGTGCTGTTAGAATAAGAGAAAAGGTCAAAGGAGGACCGTTCCTTTCGAGTCTTATTTTGGATAAAGAAAAAATCGCTCACTTTGCTAATATTGCACGATTCTGATGTACGAAATCATGGTATTCACAATATTTTGTAGCTAACCGATCATCCTTCTTCAAATCATATTTATTGTTTGACTTATTATTCGCGTGACGTTTTGTGAACGCCTTCACAGCTTTACTGTCACTCGAGTCGAACACAATATCGATGCGTTGAAACGATTTTAATTGTTGAATAATAACATTTTGTAATAATTGTACGGCATAATCATGTACTGTTGAAGTTTTCGACGAAGGCATAATTTCAAGTAGACTTCCTCCATCAATGACCAATGCGCCTAAAACGTTTTTTAATGATTTTAGCTGCGTCAGTAAAATGGTGTAATAAGACAACACTCACACTGATCATAGTTTGTTTGATAACTACCGGTAAAACATGTGGAAAATTTTTCTTTCATAAAATCCATTGCACTAGCTTTATTTTGTTGATTTATCAACTCAAAATTATCTTTGTCACATAAAGATAGCGGTGTATCAGTATATTCGTATGAAAATAATTCGATTAGATCTAAATTACGGCATTCGGCTAGTATTATATTTCTTCTAATCTCTTCATCAATTGTCTTAGTTATTTGGTTGATATTGTTTGGTTTTTTTCCCGTTTTCCCTTTCTTCCCATTGACAGTATTAGGCACATAGATATCGTTGTCTCGAATACGTAAGCGCTTCATTGCTGTAAGAGTTTCTTCTGAATAAATAGGTGTGTATGATGATTTGTAAAGAGAGCGAGAAACAATGAAGCTTACCCAATGCAACAGACTTAGTGACTAATCGTTCTTGGGTGTATGTTTTTAAAGCATCCAGACCTTTTTCAAATGACGAACAGATGTTGTCAACTATATCCTCATGTATAATTTTCCCAGATAACAGTTTTCTACAATGTTGATTTTCGGATTCAAACAACTTCTCTGGTCTTAATTTCGATATTATTGTGGTTAAATCTTTGTTATCTATTGCGGAACGATTCGGTTGACATTCGAGATGTGAAGCAATTTCATTTTTTGATGTTTCTAAACTAGCTATCTCGCATGTAACTGTTGACAATAACGCCCGAAAGGCAAATGATTTTGTCCAAGTATCAATCGATTGTTCATCAAATCGACCGGATATACCCCCGTATCCTTTTCCTACTTTATTTATGGTGCATTCAATCGTTTGATCCATTGCTATCGAAGAGAATGGACGGTTTGTGCGATTAACGGCAAATGAACGCTCTAAACGTTCCAGAAGATACTTCGAGCACGATCGTAAATCGACAAAATGTTGTGCAAATAAACGTGCGTAATTTCGATGATTATTGGCAAAGAATAACGGTGCAATTTTACTTAACGATGAATTACGTGTTGAAAAGTTAGATGTTCTGATTGACATGTATAATTCCATTAATGGTTTGAATAGATGTTCCAACACGAAATACCAAAATTTGAACGTTAAATTCTGTTGGCTGCGACCAACTGCCCATGCAGCAAATGCATTAGCTAAGTCTTCAGTTCTCATTTCGTCCAAAACATTTTGGAACCATTGGAATTGTAATTCACTTGTCCGATCTTCATGCTCATTTGGCGCTTTCGCTATCATCGACTTGATTTTGGCAGTTGATGGCGATGTTTTCAAAAATTCCTCCATTATCAAAATTGATAGTGCGGTATAAATCAATTTGCAACTTCTCAGCGATTTGTTGAAATGATGAACATTTAAAATAGAACGTAGAGCTGCTGCTTTATACAGTTCGCCAATGATATCTTCAATTCCAGTCCCTTGTAATACGTCCCATACCAAGATCATCATGTTTTTCATTATGTGAAATTCACCTGGATAGATCAAAACGTTTTCAAATTCAGTACTGATTTTTTTGGCCTAGACAGAAGGAAAATTAGTAGCGAAGATGAGAATATCTGACAAATTTACCTTGACGCAGTTTCTGTAAATTTTTTCATCAACACCGTTGCAGAAACGCAGCACAGGTAAACGAAAAGAGAAATACTGTAGCAACGATTTATTTATTTATAACTAAAAGCTATCAGATCAAGTTAAATCTGACAAAAAAGTAAGCGAATTTTACTTTTTTTAATCAATACAACGTACTGATATCAATGTATCAGTTTGTTTGTTTTGTCCAATCACTTGCTCAGGTTTTGTCCCTCTGTTGTCACGCAGACAACAAGTTTTCGACTGAGGGTTCTGGGTGTTTTCAAATTTAATTCGAGACACAATGATTTTTCAATTTTTCTCAGCATTTATTTTCTTATCAAACTTTTAATCAAGAGCAGAATGTACAGGGCATAAAATGAAATATAAAAATATCAGTCTGTCAACGGTGGCGTTGTTGCTGTATGGATTTTTTAAACGTTTCAACTAGTTGTGTTTGTTCATGTTTACGAATAGCCTACAACACAGACATAGTCCAGATCATTCTAAGGAAGTATTCGCACATGCTTACTTTCATTTCAAGTACTTTTTGAAATGAGAGTAAATAGCTACTCACGTCATGTTTTCTTTGATGGTATAAATGGCGTGTTTGTTTTGCTCGTTCAATTCTTTTTTGATGGATCACCAGCCGTTCATCATTTTCTTTCAATTTTTCCAATTTTTCGGCATGTTCAATAAATAGTGGATCGAGAGGTGGGTGAGAAGCGATAATTCTATCCACTGAATCATGGTTTTCATATGTAATAATGGCCACCGTTCGTTCTAAATTTTGACAATAAAACGTATTGACATGAATAATTTTTCCAAAAAAATTAAACCAGTCTTGTACAATATCGCGCGAAATACCATTACATAGTGGTGCAAAAATAATTTTGATTTGATACGATATTGTGCACTGAATCAGTTTGTCGTTGCTGTGTATCATACGTCGCATTTTTAACGGATGATTTTTCGTAATGCAGAACGGTCGCCGAAAGTGGTCATCAAGTAATTTCGATAAAATATTGTTTGGTATGTAAACATATGCCAATCCGGTGAAGTCGCCGTTTTTATCCAGAATCATATTTACTTTCGGTTTCGGATATTTACGTAATGTAAACATTTGCACGATTTGTCTAACATGACAATTCCAGTGCAAACTGCAAATGAACAAATTAAAATTAATTTTTCGATTTCGTTTTCTTCCACGTTTTCTTTCTGGTACCAGTTCAGGTACTTTCTCAAGCGTATCATACGCGAGAAATTCTTCATTATAATCTTGTTCCATCTGAAACGAAAAACTTACCTTCGGCTCATCGGGAGCGTAGTCATGTTCATTTGCTCTTGTTTGATATTCTGGAACGTCAAGTTCATCCTCAAGCGCATCACGCGCGAGAAAGTCTTCATCACGAGTGTAATCTTCTACCAGTATTACTTCTCTAAAAGAGGAAAACCTGCTGTATCATCATTCCCGTAAGAAAGGCTTATTTCTTACCCATTTTGTTCTGCGGCATAAGTACAATTTTGCTGCCAATTATCTGACTCTGGTTTACATTCACCTACTGTTGTTGTTGAGTTGGAATTCAACGAAAATAAAATTTTTTGTAATTCTAATAACTGTTCATCTTTAATCAAATGCTGATTTTCTTTTATCAGTACTTTTTGAACATCAGAACGTGAACTAAAATAGGTCATATGTAGAGAAAAAGAGGAAAGATTTATTTTTTACCTGCATGATTCGATTAAATAAATCAAGGTACGAATTGGCAATACAAATCTAGCATGAAATACAGGGTTAAATCAAAAACTGAAGAATTTAGTTAGTTTACGTGCCTTTCCGAAATTCCAAGCGATTTTGATAAATCATAACGCCATAAATGGGCACGTTGAAATATTTCTTTTTGACTGTCAGTGAACGTGTGTTTGTGCATATTTAAGATATGACCACATTTATTTTTGTAGCGTCGTGGCTGATGCATCTGTAAGAAAAAGGATAACCATTGCATTGTTGATGTATAAACATATTCTTACTTGGGTCAATCGTTTTGTGGTTTCAGCTTTAATTTTTATCTGTAATGCAATTGAATCGTCTGAATTGTCAACTGCTTCAACAAGTTTTTGATGCACATCGATAAGAAAGTGCGAATCTAGTTGTGCGTATAAAAGTGCACAAGGTTCATACGGTCTAAAATAAAGATAAAACTTTAATCAATCGCCATCACACAGATGCTGCAAATAAAACAATACTTACCGTTGTGACCAGTCATATCTTTGATATTTTTTTTTTAAATACGACACATCAATACCACAATATCTTTGTAATAAATCTGAATACTTGGATGTTTCTTTCAAGCATTCAGCGACTGCTTGTGTATCAAAAATGTTGTTAAATTTAAATCCAAAATCCAAATATAAATGTTTCGCATCTTGTCTGCAGTCATGTATGATCTGAAAAAATATGATGAAAGTCATATTTGCGCGACCTAGTAATTATATATCGTACTTTTAAAATATTATTGTCACTTGTTATATCGTTTAAACCGCAAACTGTTATTGCATCAATGTCAGCTGTGAAAACGATAAAATCCACTTTTCTTGTTGATATTTGTAATAACACTGTTGATGATTCAAATGTGGTCGACTCTCGCTAAAAAACCATAATCAGTTTTCTGTATTACTCAAAAAATGAGAATATTACTTCACAATCAAATCCAATAACACTGTCATCACGTAATTGTTTGACCATTTCGTTAAAACCGGTTTCATTGTAAATGTATATAGGTGGTGGTAGTGATATATTCATTACTATTCTAAGACAAACAGCAAAATAGCTGACATCCAGTTTACACTTCTACAACGAGTTCAATATTACAATGAAGTTTTCAAAATTTAGCGAGAAAAGTCTATAAAAAATCTATTTTCACTTGAAATTTGGATGAAACTTAACTCATGTACTCATCTATTCAATGAGAGTTAATACTGAAACGAAAATGCAAATTTTTTCACTTATAAAAAGTTATTGTAGAAATATGAAGGGATCATGAAAAAACTTCGAAAAAATGATGCGACATTTTGCGAGAAAGAAAATGATCTCGGGAATTTCATCTAAAACACTTGAAAATTCTCTCTACTTGCACGATATAAAGACATGCGATTTTATCAGACGAAACGAAAGAATTTCCCGAATTTTTTCTGTGGGTTTTGCAGAAGAGCAAATTCTTAATCTTATTACAATAATGTGCTACTTGCGTTCGGCCTTTGTTCTCTTCGTTTTCAAAACAGGCAAATTGTACACTTTAACAAAGAAATATTTCTGGCCAACTTAAAAAGGATATGTCAAAAAATAAAACGTTTATCGTTTGAGCCAAAATTATTTTTCAGAATACACCAGTTTCATTTCTAGAGGTATTTTAAATGAGCAGTTTTCATATGTTTAGTTGCATTTTCTAGAAACTTTATTGAAATAAACCAAAACATTTTTTAATTACTTTACCTACCATAAACTCATCCGTAGCTAAATGTCTAACGGTTTATCAATGTAAACATACACAAATTTTGTTGAAAAGAGGTTAATGAATGGAGGTAAAATTCATAGCATACTCACAGAAACAGTTATTATTTATTTATTCATAAAATATTGCAATTAAATACAAAACTACAATTATATATATATATATATATATATATACAGAAATAATGATATTTTTAGAATCAAGTGAATTGAAACATGTGTATTTTGGAATTTTTAGATAATTTTGGATCTCGAATTGATTCTGAGTTTTCACTTTTTTAAGAAATTGGAGCAAAACCGAAGAAATACGGACTAGTCTAAAAAGTTCCAAAATACATATGTTTCAATTCAGTTTTTAATGCTGATTCCAAAAGTATCATTATTTCTGTCGAAAACTCGAATTTTGATAGAGAAAACGGCAAAATATGGGACCCATTTCACTGTTTTGCAAAAAATTGAATTTCTCGATAATAAAACAAAATTTTTAAAAGACGATACGTAGCTTTATTGCCAGAGGTATGGCGATCTGAATGAAAAGAAAAAATTTTTCTTTTAAATGGTAGCATTGGATAGGTTTACAAAAGTGACTGACAGCCCCTTTACCATGCCGCTCGTGTTTCGCAGATTTTGCGTCCATTTTACGTTCTAAAATTTTAAAATTAGCTTTCTAGATTCAGTTTCCAATGGAAAAGAAGAAAGATGGCTTTTGAATTCTAAAAGACGATCAAACATGAAAATTATGGTTATCATTCAAAAATCTCCTCAATTTTCCCCATTTTTTTAAAATCAATATTTGAAAGTTTTTTCGCCAAAAACTGCCTTCCAAAAATCACTGCGTTTTTTCTAGATAACTCGATGAGCGCTATCCAACCGCGCCAAAAAAAATACGAAAAGACCAATATTATCCTGACACCTTACTATAATGGAATTTTTAGCAGTATTCTAGTACTCTAAAGAATAACGCTTATATCAAATAATGAAGCGTAAGTCATATAAAATGAAGATCCAGATCATTTATTTATAACAAGTATCACATTATACATTGAAAAAAGAATGACAACGAAAATGGTAACCAATTATATGCGATTGCGGCATTTTTCATAGCTAATTGATGTTGATGTGCCTAGAATGAAACGAATGAAAAGACAAACGGTTTACTGTTTTAAATA